GGTACCACATCTGTTTGGTGTCACATCTGAACTAGCCGGAAGAGGTTGCAAACCTATCTTTCACTATTATTATTATTATTATTATTATTATTATTATTATTATTATATTAAGTTTCTATACCATCCTTCATCCGAAGATCACAGGGCATTTTACAATATAAAAGCACATAAATACATACCATAACAACAAACAAAACCAATCCCCCCCCCAGTTTAAAAGTTCATGTAGCTTGTTGAATTAGCCTATTATTATTTATGTAAATGTGCATAATTTCTATTAATTTATTAAATCATACCATTATGCACATTTAAAACAGCATGTTTCCTTTCAAAAAATTCACCTATGTGGTCTATGGAAGTGTACTTAAACTTAAGCGAAGATTAAGTAAAAAAATTAAAGCCTAGGAGACTAGGGAGATCTTTAATAAGTTGGCTGTCCTCTTTTAATATGGATTCACCTCCTAAAGTGACTCAACCTTGCCCCAAATATCCATCCCAACCCCTTACCCTCCTGGGTCATTTATGCCTCGCCCCACCCCCAACGTGCATGGCTGCCCCCAACCCTCCCCTGACGCCCCCGCCCCTTGCACACTCACAAGTACTCCAGGTGTATGAGTCCCACAAAGGCGTCGTCCCCGATCAGTTCCAGGGAGTTGTAAGTGATCAAGCTAGGGGTTGGGGGATTGGGGGAAGAAGCAGGCAGGTCAGACACTGGGACATAAGACAGGGACGGTAACCAAGTCTGGGATGGATGACAGGGAGCAGGGCTTGTATCAAATCGCTGCATCTTGCATCAAGGTGCCCTCTAGGTTTGGGAGGGCATGGTAACAAGGCTTACTGTCGCTACCGTCCAAAAGAGTTAAAGCACACTCACAATCTGGTGTTCCTATGGTGGGCGAAAGAGGACTCAGTGGGGAGCTATCTCACTAGTACCGAGACCTTGGTCTACCCGCAGCTGGAAGGTCAACAGGAAGGAAAGGGCCCTGCCAATCACCCCTTAGCTGTAATGGAGAGATCTAGTGGGGTGCCCAGAGTATTATGCCAGAGCATCCTGCACCAGCCCCCCCCCTGCTCTTGTCATTAGCTAGAGCTCAGCACATGTGCATAGCCAGGATTTTTGTTGGGCGGGCAGGACTTTTGTTGGGGGGGCAGAACCACCGTGATTGGTCAGTTAGTTAAGTATTTCTATTGTTTTACTTGATGGGGGGGGGGAGCTTGCCCATGGCTTGGCAGGGTTTGGCCCCCAAATTGTTCTTCAAGTGAAGGCATCAAGGTTGGACTATGTGACAGAATGACAGAGAAAACAGTGACTTGGAGCATGGACAGAATATGCATTTCTTTGTAGAACATGTGTGGGCCATTTCTATCCACACACCTGCAATGAGGGGACTTCCAGATCAAAGGTTCTGGATTCATACGGGTACTCCTCTCTCTCTCTCACTCACTCTCTCATTTAGCACTGCCATCATGCCAGTGAGAAGCTTCCTCCATGCTGCACCAGCGCAGATTGGAATGAAGGCCTCTACTCACGATTTCCATCCCACTTGGCTCTGCTTGCGGTGCGTGAGATTCTCTCACCCACCCCTTAAGCAGCAGTAGGGCACAAGCAAGTATCCGTGAAAATGTACAAATACAATTGCACAGATGTGAGAAAGACATGCTCACAGGGGGCACACACAGACACACCGACGGACACCATCCCATGTACCGCAAAATCAAGTGTCGGCACTAACCCACAAGCCCGATCTCGTGAAACGGTACAAGTTCCCTCCTGAAATCCACACTCATAGGAGCATCTGCAAACAGTCACTGATAAGGCAGATCAATTTCAGGGCTGCTATTGTTGATTAATGGTTTAAGTTTAAGCCAATTAACTGATGGATGAGTTGATGAAATCTGCATTAATTTGCAGAAAGATAATCTTTGTTCCAAAGAAAAGCATTTTTTAAGACAATGCACACATTTGTTGCAACCATAGCTGTCATCTTTTCCCTTTTCTTGCAAGGAATCCTATTCAGAATAAGGGAATTTCCCTTAATAAAAGGGGAAAGTTGACAGCTATGGTTGCAACAGACATTGTTTTTGGAGAGGCATTCTGCCTGATGTCTCTTACACTGGAGGAAATGCCTCTTTTGCGAAGTTACTTGTATAAAAATAAAAATGTGTATAACAAATTCCCTGAGCACCTTTTACTCCCTTCCAATGACCTTTCTAACTGACAAATTGACTAAACCAGCCTTCCAAACCTGTTGTCCTCCAGATGTTGTTGGACTCTAACTCCAACCACCAACCACCATGGCCAATGGTCAGGGATGATGGGAGTTGGAGCCCAAAACATTTGCAGGCCACCAGGTTGGGCTAGAGAAGACAGCTAGATGGATATATTCACATACTGCCGGGGAACTTTTGTCCCACCAGATGTGGCTAAACTATGGGCGACTATGGGGTTGCAGTGCTCATCTTGCTTTCAGGCCGAAGGAGCTGGCGTTTGTCCACAGACAGCTTTCCGGGTCATGTGGCCAGCATGACTAAACTGCTTCTGGCTCAACTGAACACTGTGATGGAAACCAGAGAGCACGGAAATGCCGTTTACCTTCCCGCCGCAGTGGTACCTATTTATCTACTTGCACTGGTATGCTTTCGAACTGCTAGGTTGGCAGGAGCTGGGAAGGGAGCTCACTCCATCGTGGGGATTCAAACCGCCAACCTTCTGATCAGCAAGTCCAAGAGGCTCAATGGTTTAGACCACAGTGCCAACTCCCATCAGACACAGCAAGCATGGTCAGGGATGATGGCAGCTGTAGCTCAGTCACATCTGCAGGGCCAAAGGTTCCTCACACCTGCTCTGTGCATATCCACTCGAACAAAGCGAGAGGCAGCGAAAGAGTACAAATTGACCTAAGGAGATTCACCGTCACTGGGCGACACACAGGCTGAAAGGGAGGTTTACGGGAACAGCTTCTCATGTGGCTCACACGCATGGAGAAAACAAAAGGCATGCCAGGCATTGTCTATCCACACACACCACTCACAACCGAGGTGTCAGGAATCCTTACAGCAGCTGGAGAGATGGCACCTGTTGAAAGCTGCCAGCTAAGATCTCGGTGAATCCTGAGCGAATTAGAGACCTGCAGAGAGAGGAAGGAGCGAGAGGGGGAGGAAAGAGAAAGGAGGGGGTGGTAGAAAGTGGATGATGTGAGGAAAGATGTCAGCTGCAGGCAGCCTGGCAGCACCAGCAAGCCCCATGAAGGATGGCACAGTCAGCCCCAAACTGAGCCTGCCCAGACTTGACGGAGCTCAAACCCCAAAGCATCCTGACCACAGAACTCCAAAAAAACCAGCCTTTCAAAGCCCAAACGTTGTTGTCTTCCCACCACCCCCATAAAAAACCCCCTTCATTGCTTCACAGAGAGAGCAGAGCTGACATCCGTCTCTGTTTTTTTCATGCAGCAGCTAGAGTGGTTGTGTGTTTCTGTGGAATGCGTCTAAGCTTTCCTGGAGTACACATTGCTTTTCAACCTATGGTTCCTCTACTCACTTCCAAGGGTCTCCAGGGAGCTGCATGCCTGCATCTCTGCAACAGCAGAGCAATCCCTGAGAGATCTGCAGATGTTTTCACCTGCAAGTTATCTCTCCAGTCTATGAGGGGCGGGCTCCTGAGGCACACCTAGGATAGACACTTGTCCTGACCCTTGGATGCCACCGCTGGAGGTAGAAGCTGGGCAGTGTAGCAGCCACTAAAGGTGTTGCTCTAGGGAACAGGCAAGGGATCTAAGGCCCCGAGGGCACATTCCTGGGCTCGCCAATCCAGTACAATTTGGGAAGGAGATGATTCTTCTCCCCCGCAAGGTTCAAAGCGCTGGGTCCCCGAAACCTTCCAGATTCCCCACAGCTAACCGCCAAGGATCCACCATCACTGCACCACACAGCCATGTGGGGAGGGGAGAAGCAGGGCATCCACCTTTACGTGCTGCCAAAAATCATTTCGCAATTAGAAATGAATAAATATGCTAAACGATGCCAAGCAGGAAAACCGACATCCAGCCAGAACTATTGGCGGGGAGGGAAATGGAGGGGGGTGGGAGAGCACACCCCAAGGGCTGGTTGCTGATTCTCACAGGCAATAACCCTCCCCACGGTGGCAGCCCCATGTCCAGGGTTCCGATGTGGGGAGGAGAGGACAGTTAAAAAAGAGCCATTCACCTTTCTTTTGGGGAGAGTCCCTCACCCATCCTTAAGGGGCTGTTTTTCGAAGGCCGGTGGGGCAGAGGAGCCGGGTGAAATTGAGAGGGTGGGGGAGTCAAGGGGGTCTGTAGATAGCACCCCCTCCCCTAAATTATTCACGTCCTGGCCCCAGACTTTTAGGAGATGAATCCCCTAGCCCCTCCTTAATGAACCGGAGCCACCCCGAATCAAGTGTAAACCTAAGCAAATTATCTCTGTCTATCTATATCTAGCTAGCTAGCTAGCTATCCATCTATCTCCTTTTTAACCCCCAAGCAAGGGGTGCTGGAGAATATGCATGTATTCGGCCTGCGTGTAAGGGAAAGGGAAGCGGGGTTCCTGCGTGGAGTGGGGGGCGACATTCCCCGAGCCCCTCTTCCGCCTCCAATCCCCCCACCCGCACCCCGGAGAGAAGCTCGCTTACAGGGAGAAGAGGTTCTGGGGCAGGTCTCGTGGGATCTCCTTGACCCTCTCGCAGATGGCCGTGTCCTTGAAGCAGGTGCAGCCCCCCGGGCACTTGCGCTTGGGGTACTTTCGGCCGCCGCTGCCCGGCCCGGCCAGGAGCAGCAGCAGCAGCAGCGGGGCGCCGGCGCCGCCGAGCCCCAGGCGCCAGCCCATCCTCCAGCCTCGCAGGGGCTCCAGGCGAGCAGCCCGGCCGGCGGGGCGCCTTCCCGGCGGCAGAGGCTCTGCTTTCCCCGCTCGCGCAAAGCGACCGGTCGCGTCCGCGTGGGCCCTAATCCCGAGGCGGCAGCGCCTTGCTCCGCGCTCCCGCCGTCATGGTCTCGCCGGCCTCCGCGGTGGCGTGCAAGGCGCCCTCTCCGCAGCCTGCGGCTGGATCCGGCAATGGGTCCCTTTTCGACTCCCTTTCGCAGAGGCTCCCGGGTTAGCGTCGCCTGCGGATCTTGCAATCCGCTATGCCTGCTGCTGCTGCTCGATTGCTGTGATCGCTAAAGATCTGTGTATGTATAGATAGATAGATAATCAATCGACTTCTCCACCTAGGAGGAAAACGAAATAGAATCAGCTAATCGATTTGGGGCTGATAGGAAAGATCTAACCCCAAACAGCCATTTCTCTAACGTTCATGCACCCGTTTCCCTCTCCGCTCCTTCCTCCCTTTCTCTCTGCTCCGCTCTTGTCTCCGCAGATACATCACCGCCGCGTGTACACACGCGCGCACACACACACACAAACCAGAGAGCGAGCGAGAGAAAGCTGCCAACCAATAGGAATGCAAGCTCCCGGCTGGCACAGCTACCAACCTACACTGGGGAGGCAAATGAAATTGGAGGGAAAGGAGGAGATGGGGAATCATTGTTGTCACCCAGCTCATCAAAACTCTGGAATTTGCTCCCGCAGGAGGTAGTGATGGCCGCTAGCGCAAATGAGGATTGGACTAATTCATGGCGGATAATGGCCATCGCGACTGCGTGTCATCTCCACTTCCCACAGGCATATGCCTGGCCACTGTCAGAATAGGATGGTGGAGAAGCTGGGCCTTGGGCCTCATCCAAGCAGGGCCCTTCTAAAGCTCTTCTGCAATGAGCAAGAGGGCCCCCAATTCAGGCTTGGCCCAAGTTGTTTTACCGTCTGAGGCAAAGGACAACATAGGGGCCTCTCTTGTGTTGAGAAGTTGACTAGCCTGGCTGCTGAATCTTCAGCACTTGTTGTCAGGATAGCGTCCTCCACACAGCACCTGAAGACAGCAGCTCAGTGCAGGGCAAGCCATGTAGCATATACAGTGGAGGGTGGTCCTAGAGCTTAAGATGAACAAGCAGGGAACTGCTGTTGCTCCCCAATATTTGCCACCTGAGGGCATTCTCCTCACTTTGCCTAATGGTAGGGCTGGCCCTCTGAATACATATTACCACCTAAAACAGGTGTGTGTGAGAGAGAGAGGGGGGGGAGAGAGAGAGAGAGAGAAAGAAAGAAAGAAAGAAAGAAAGAAAGAAAGAAAGAAAGAAAGAAAGAAAGAGCATTAAGTCCCCAGAGTGTAAAATTATCTAACTGCACAGCTGGTGTTGCCTTCACAAAAATCATATGGGTGACACTGATCTTCCTGTGTGTGAGATTAGATCTCAGAACAAGAGTTCCATGTTCATTCTATTAATCATATGTCTGTATCTCACAGTCCCTACTGGAAGGGCAAATTAACACACACACGGCTAGCAACTGACCTTATCCCACCAAACCAATGGGGATTTGAACCCATGTCTCCCCAGGCAGCCATGACATTAACATGCTCCCCAGGCAGCTGCCTAGGACCCATAAAAACTTGCCACTGAGGCCTGCCTTTGCTTCCCACTCTAGAAAAGTTGGCTGACTCTACCATGTACCTTGGAGTGATGCTACAACAAAGGCATTATGGGAAATTAAATGAAGGTTCCAAGACCCAGATCCCTGATGATCCTGCTTCCACCTGGAGAATCTATAGGGGACCAGCTGGCATATGAACAGCCCCACCAAATGGTACTTTATCGAGGGTCTCCTCCAATCTGCCCTGTTGTCAGGTCAAGTCCAACACTCCATGGGTACATTGCTTTTAAAAAGAACAAGCTAGATATAGTCTCTAACAACTCTGAAAGCAATCATAGTATTTGGAAGGATAGCTGACCATCTAGATCAGGCATAGGCAAACTCGGCCCTCCAGATGTTTTGGGACTACAATTCCCATCATCCCTGACCACTGGTCCTGTTAGCTAGGGATCATGGGAGTTGTAGTCCCAAAACATCTGGAGGGCCAGGTTTACCTATGCCTGATCTAGAGTCTGCTTAACTTTTTTGAATGAGCTGAATGTCCACCACCTTTCAAGCTCCATAGTCAAAGACCTGGTGCCATCAGGAAGTTATTTCTAATGTTTAGCAGAAATGTTCTAGTGTGTTCTAGGGAGGGATTGGTGTGACTATATCAATTTTGGATTCTCTGTCTTCTCCCCCCCCCCCCCAGTCTTCAGGTCACCACATTTCTGCATCAGTTTGCATTTTGAAAATCCTCGTGATCTCAGTATTTTAGTGCAAATTTCTCCTAATGTATGCATTTTTGAAAGCAGTTTGTATGTGTTCTATTTTCATAGGTGCCAACTCCTAGGGGCCAAGGTCCCTTTGCCCCCCCCTTCAATAAAATATTTGAGGCCCCCCCAAGTTGATGGGCATTGCCATTCAAATGATGGGTATTCACAGCATCTTGTGATTCATTATTTGGGATGGGGTTCACTTGGGCTCCCCAATATTTTATTCAAGTTGGCACCCCTGGCTATTTTCACGATTATATACAGTTTTATGCACCTTTCTCCTATTGTATGCATTTTTGTATACAAAGAAGTGCAGATATTAAACAATGGCTGTGTTTGGGTTTGCATATTGTTTTGGAAAGCGCAAATTAGGTAGGCTTGCACTAAAATTCAAACTGAACCAAATTCCACCTCCTATCCCTAGTTCTTAGTGATTCAAATAGGGGTAGCAATGGGATAGATTTCACAGTTAATGTATACAGAAATGGTGCCTCCAGTATGATGAAAACATACATAAAATAGTTATATATAGAAAAACAGTTAAAACAACACAAAACAATATGCATGTATGGACTGTATGTATGCTTTAAGGCTGATCGCCAAAGAATTGATGCTTTTGAATTATGGTGCTGGAGGAGACTCTTGAGAGTCCCATGGACTGCAAGAAGATCAAACCTATCCATTCTGAAGGAAATCAGCCCTGAGTTCTCACTGGAAGGACAGATCCTGAAGCTGAGGCTGCAATACTTTGGCCACCTCATGAGAAGAGAAGACTCCCTGGAAAAGACCCTGATGTTGGGAAAGATGGAGGGCACAAGGAGAAGGGGACGACAGAGGACAAGATGGTTGGATAGTGTCTTTGAATCTACCAGCATGAGTTTGACCAAACTGCGGGAGGCAGTGGAAGACAGAAGTGAGCCAACATAGAATCATAGAGTTGAAAGAGACCCTGAGGATCATCTAGTCCAACCAGCTGCAATATGCTGTTGTCCCATAAGGGGATTGAACCTGCAACCTTGGCATAATCAGTACCAAGCTCTAACCAACTGAGCTAAGTGCCTAGCGTGCTCTGGTCCATGGTCTCACAAAGAGTCGGACATGACTAAATGACTAAACAACAACACTGTATATATCATAGCAGAATCATAGCACTGTAGAGTTGGAAGGAACCCTGAGGATCATCTAGTCCAACCCCCTGCAATGCAGGAATATGCAGCTGGTCCATACAGGGATCGAACCTGCAACCTTGGCGTTATCAGCACAATGGTCTAACCAACTGAGCTATCCAGGCTCATGTAAGTAACTAAGTAAGTAAGTAAGTAAGTATGTATGTATATTTAAAACAACAACACATACATAAATTACATTCAAATATTGGTATCCAATGCTACTCAGGATACATCCATTGAAAGTATTGGAGATGACTAACTTAGGACCATTCATTTCACTGAGTAGAACTCAAGTTGGATACAACCCTAAACTGAACTTGGGACTTTCTCTGAGCTATGCCCACTTCATGAACTAATGCCAACTAATGGAAGAAGCCTCCTGGGAGTTTATTGGAAAGCTGGTGGAATAGAGAGAAATAGCAGGGTATTGTTATAGCTGAATATAGACTCTACTGAAATGTCCAAGTGCATTGAGGGTGGCTTAGCTCTATATGTCAAAGAGGGCATAGGGTTTGATGATCTAGAAAATATATGAGGAATAAACACCTTTGCTTTGGCAGTTAGCTCAGCTGGTTAGAGTGTGGTTCTGATAATGCAAAAGTCATGTGATTCTTCTTCTTCTTTGGTGATCACTCATAGCCTAGTAAGATTGTCTTCCATAAACACAGTTTTAACAATGAGTCCATAAGTGACTGTGGAGGCCAATTCTGGATCTACACGTTCTTCCACAGTGGGGACATTGGTTTCCGGGCGGGAGTTGATTATGATGTGGATTTGCCAAGCATGCCTTCCTCTTAGCACATTTCTCCCTTGCGTCCTGAGTTCAAGCGTCTTCAAAGCCCATTGCACCTTTGGCAAAGGCTGTTCTCCAACTGGAGTGCTCACAGGCAAGTGTTTCCCAATTGTTGGTGTTTATACTACATTGATCCTACTGTTCTATAATCACTGTGGGGACTACAGAATCACAGGAAAGGGAAAGAAACTATGCAAAGCACAGAAGCGTCACTTCTTTTTTTTTACCCCTGTCTGATCAGCCCAACCTCTTCAGGCTTCTGAAATTTTGCCAGGCCTGAGGACTAGAAACCTGCACTCTTCTCAAGATTGAGCCAAAGCAAGTGTCACCCCTTCACTTCCCAGTACATTTTCCCATCACATTCATTACAGCAAAAAGGCCAATATTTTGGGAAGAAGCAGCTTTGTTGTGCAAGACTTCCCAAGCAACTGTTATTGCATAACCTGAATTAGCTGGTATCTGATTGAATCCAACCCGAAAACAGTGACAGTCTGGAAGCCCCCGGATGATTTTTACTGGTGCAGGGAGGCCCTCTGCTGGTGCTACTTTCTCATTGAGGAAGATCTTTGTGTCAGTTCCGCAGAACAGAACTCACCGTAAGATCTGTGAATAACCATCATCCTGGAAGCAGGACACAAGTCTAGGTTCTCTTGTAGCTTCCAGCCATTGGAAAGGACCACAGCTCAAGGTGAAGCACATATTTTGGTGGTTTGATTCTTAGCATTTCCAGACAGATAACCCTCAGAGTCCATTCCAACTCTACAGTTCTATGATTCTCTCTGTTGTTCGCCAGCGTGAAACAATACTGGGATTGACAAATAGACTGACCTGATCTAAGACAACTTCCTATTTTAATATGGCTAGCTCAATTTTTAAAAAATCGAGTATGTGCTCCAGAATCCTTTGTTA